TTACTTGTTAAATACGTAGTTTTTGGTAGAAAAGTTGCAGTTTCGTCCCCACGTAGTGGACGAAATTGCAACTTTTCTACCAAAAACTGCATGTTAAGGTGCTACAGGAGGAGTATGAAGAAGTACAGTACTATTTGCTGCTATTTAACAAAACAAGTAAAATTGCTATGTAGATTGGGCAGTTTATTGCATGCATTTAAACACATAAGGGACTACATTTGTACTTAAATGCAAATTTGAATTTTCTCCCTTGCGTAGAATTCTTGTCGGTCGAAACCGCCCTACAATCATGGAAGTCGAAACATTTAAAAAAAAAGACTAAAACAGTTTTGACTGTAATTTTTTGCTTCAGCGGAAGGGGGGTCTGGGGGGTTGGATTTTGAACAAACATGGTATACTCATCTTTTTAGTCGTAGCACCAGTAGGGTTTTGAACTATTAGAAACATCGTAAAACAATAAAGTTACGGGGATGAGATGCCAGCATATAACTGATTGCTGGTGGTGGCATGCAATGCAACAAATAACAAATAACAAATGAAGCATCAATGATCGTCCAAACCATGGTCAGAAAWCACCATAAAAATGCTAACAAAAAGCATGGAGTGACAAAATCAGGCTTTTGTACAAACGAGCATTGATGCTTCATATCTCATATTACACGACGTATGGTATGGTACGGTACAGTACAGTTGGATCTTACGATTCATATGAGTCAATGTAACAAGAAATGAAGCACGAATGATCGTTCGAACCATGGTTGGAAATCACAATAAAAATGCTAACAAAAAGCATGGAGATACAGAGGCTCACTGATACAGAGGCTCACTGCTGAGAATGATAAGACAGGGGAGGAATACAGAGGAACTACAGATACAGAGGAGGAATACTATGGAAGACAAGCTGCTGATACAGAGGATGCTGACACAAGTTGCTGATACCAATCCCCTTACAAAAGACCAATGTTGGATTGCTATTAAGAAATAGTAAGCAGTATTCCTATTAACACTGTTAGCAACACAACCACCACCTCCAGTACCAGTAGTATCGGGCCTGAGGTGATCGTAGGAATCAGTAGTAATGAGTTCCCGTGCTGGTGTTTACTATTTCCAGTAGTAAGCAGTATTCTTACTGTTTTGTTACACCTTAATTTTCAAGTAGTTAGCACTCTTATGAGGACTTAGCAGTTGAGGTGTGTACTTGTGGTGTACCTCAATTTTTGACTTGTTTTTTTTAATTTTCCCTCCAGTAGTAAGGCTCACTCTTACAAATACTTGTATTTCAGGGAGTTGGCAATAATTTGCATGTGTGTAGGATTCTACGTACTTTGTGCTGTGCATTTATTAATGTATCATTTATTACAGGTACCCACACAAAAATCATTCGTATGATACAATTGAATCATATGAGTCTAACAAATGAAACTTGCTTCAATTCAGATCAGCGAAACAAATTGGACTTCTGGACACTGGTTAATAACATGGAATAAAATCGAAATCAGAATTGATTCCAAGAACAGATTTCTCTTAACATAAAATTACTAAATTGCTTACTACTGGAGCGCTCTCTAAGGCGCTAACTATTGGGAATTACACTTCAGCTACTTCACCACCAACAACCATTTCTTTCAGTCCCTCAAGCACATTCAAAGGCATATTGCAAGCAGCCCTCTCTTCTTCAGTCATGCTTGCAATGTAGTTCAKKGATTCTTTTTGGAGCCTTGCTCTCTCTTTTCCTAGAGCAGTATCCCTGATTGTAATCTCATCTTCTTTCAGTCTTTGTAGTTGGGACTCATCTTCATCACTCCAAGCAAATTCTGGAGGGAAGGAAATATCCTTAACTCCCAACCAGAGATCAACCAATTCTTGTTTCTTTGCAGGAACCTTCTTTTGTTGCTTCCACTTGCACAATAACTTGAGTGTAGAAACTGGTAGKGACTTTGCATCCTCCTCATTGTGAACATTCTTCCCCTTGGCGGTATACTCTTGAATCAAACTGGTAACCTTCCCATTGAACTCAGTGACTGCATTGGCTTTTTTCTTCAGTGACTCAAGTCCTTTGATATGCTCTTCCCTTTGCTTCCTCTCTTCAGCAATGAAATAATCTTTGGTGTTGAGTGTGTCTCCTCCTGTAATAATAAACTGTTGACTGGAATATTTTGCTGACGCCAGTGCATCCTGTCGTGCTCTGGAGTTCGGCACAGTCACTGTCTCCGTCAGCTCCTTCTTTTTTCGTGGTGCAAACTTTTTGAATACATTACTGTTGAAACCAGCATCATTCAGCAACTTTACCGCTTTCGCATTCTTCTCTTCATTCTCAACCAACGCAATAGTATCAGGATCGGCGGTCAAGTCAATAGTGCCATCTTCCAACACTATCAATTCATGCGCAACTTTACTATCTCTTAAACASCGTCTTGTGAACGGTGAAATTCCAATTTTGGCCCACACTGCTTTGGAATTGGCGACTGAAAATTCTTTGTCGAAGGCGGGCTCCAAAAGAACTTCTTCGTTGGATGTGATGCGGTTGCCAAAAACAAGCAAGGGAAAATCGTTCTGCCTGACGTTGTCGTTTCGTTCTCTCCGGTAACGAACCAGAGACTCCAAATTGTGACGATACATCGACTTAAACGGTCCATAGTTCTGATCGGTGGGTTGCGTTACATGCCTAGTATTGGGGACACCAGCATGCAAATAGAAACCCCTTGCCTTGAGCTTTGCCAATAAGCGGAGGTCCTTCCGCCCAGGCCCGCTGTCCACAAGAATGAGAACTCGTTTCCGAGGCAAATCKGCKGCGTCAGGAAATAGTTTCACAATCGAATCCATCATGAACTGATGAAATTCCTTCGCATCCATCCCAGCTGTGGCATTACAGTTAACAGTGATACCGTTTGCWGTCAATTTATTATAACCGTAGACACCTTCAATGTAGGGAACGCCTTCAACGAAAGCATCTTGRATCTTTTTGTCCTCGTCTTCGGCCTTCGTTTTCAGTTGAAAATGCGGCGGGAGGGGAAAACCTGCAGCGGTGCTTCCTGCAATAAAGGTGACCCGGACACTACTCTTGTTCGTTCTATCTGCGCCTGATGCGATTGCAGGATTTGAAGAGCGGTATCTCCTAGAGGTATGACCACCAGTCAAAGAATGATTGCTGTCCAGTGTCAAACCACTTTCGTCTAGGTTTAAAATCCGATTTAGTTGACCCTCAAAAAAGAYRAGCTCTCCTTCAACCTCACCGTCATTTGCCGTCGTTTCTCTGGCCCATCCTCCAGAAATCAACCTACTCTTCAGTGTGTTGAACCATAAGTTGATATTGTTATAGGTAGTCCACTTTGCTCTTCTATCTTCTAGTTTTGACGAACCAGTAACAATTTTCACGTCAGGTGAGAACAAAATCGACARTCGTTCGTAAAGYCTTGCATAATTTTTTAGTACAGTTGGTCCTCCATTAAGACAGCATGCTAACATGTGTGTCACTGTTTTCTGATTAGGTTGATCTTCCATTTCCGAACAACTGAGGTTTATGTACGCTGCCTCCACCACTGCGGGCAAACTTGGAGGCCGACCAGAATTCCACCGTGGGGGAATGTTTTCGAGGCCTAAACTCACACGTCGYCGAACCGTTTCTGCACTGAGTTCAACATTATAAAGCTTGTTCACTTGAGCAACCAAAGCTGCTACATTCGTCACATTGCCAAGGGCACGTTCGTGTTTGATTTTTTTAGCCACGGAAAGGTAAGCGGTATTTTTTAGTTTATTTTCATTGAGCTTCTCAAGCTTCTCCGCATGCAAATACTGCGCACTCCGTGCAGGCTTCCGCTTCTTCTTTGCGGAACCGTTGGTGTGAACAGAACTGTCGCCAGCAGTACTGGTTGCCTCGTTCATCTGGTGATTTGTGTTGTCACCGYCTTTATCACCGTCCTTGGTATTACTGCTGGTGGAGCTCCTGGAGGTATCAGCAGGAGGAGCAGCACAGGTACTGACCCCAACACTTCCAGTGAGGCCAGATAGGGGGTCTGGTGGTAAAGCATATTCAATGGTTGATAAGGGGAGACCAGCAACTGCTTTTTCAAGCTCCAGCTTATCCCTGAACCTCATCACTCTTCTGCGAAGAGCTTTGCTTTGGCATTCTGATTCACTGAACTTGGCAAATAGCATTGCACTCTTGGTGGTGCAATCCTCACCTTCTTCCTTAGCCATAACCAAGGCCCTTGCCGCGATTCGTGTACGCCTACATGCTGCAACAACATGTCCATTTGGTACAGCGCCAACAGGAATAGTTGCTGTTGTTGTTACAGTTGTTTTCTTGCCATCTTCCTGCTGGTTTTTCTTTCTTCTGGTGGTGGTGCTGCTTGCACTACCCMCAACACCAATCAACCCCATCCTCTCMAGTGTCCTTGCCGTCGATTCGCRTGGTGGTGGTGGTGGCTGCAGCGTTCCTTTCCCTGTAGGCGCTGGGTTGGTGTTGTTGTTGTTGTTATTGCTCATTTCAGRGCCAAAATACACTCAAAATACAGCAAAAACTGCTTTTTCTTTCAAAATACTCGGTCGATTGCAACGATACTTCGGGATCAAGTCTCCTTTGATGTATTAAGGAGGTTCCTGACACTGGTTGTCTCTGTTATGGAGGGGAAGACAGTTTCTTTTTTGTTACACTGGGGAGTTCGTCGTTGCTGTTTTTCGATGATATTTCCACTGTAGCTTTGGTATTCTTTGGTATCCTGTTGCTCCTAAACCACTCGGTCGATCGATCCGCTACTTCCGGATCCCCTTCCCCTTGTTATAATGAAGTTATTCCGGTGGGTGTGTGGACTGGAGAGTGTGTTGAATGCTCAGTCTAATGGGGGTGACAGGTCCCTATGATGAGGTTGATTAAATGAGAGTTTTTTGATTTTTTGGTGCGCAGAGAAATCAACAAGCCCGAAAAGGTTTTCGAAAGCAAACACCATGCAATGTGCACATCGTTGGAAAGAGGAAAGAAAACCTTTTCCGACTGACAGATTCTCTAAATCTGATTGGTGCTTTGGTAGCACTAACAAGCAAGCAAAGTTAAGAGCTCACAGCTAAAAACTGGCGCGTTTATTGTAATCATAACCTATTACACTTTTTGTCCACACATTTGCGTTCCAACCTCGTACTAACTAAGAATCATAGTATCACATGATTGATCATACGTACTGTATCAATATCAGTATCAGTAGTACTACTAGTACTATATGAGGAACAGAAGTAGTAGCAGAAAAGTAATACTAGTAGTTGATGTAGTTTCAGTACTGGATCTACTACTGCTGAACTACTACTACTTCTTTTTCTCAACTAGTATTTCAATTTTTCACCATTCTAGTAGTAGTACTTAGCATCACATAGTAGTACCTCCCAAGACACTAATACGACAGAGGAATATATCTTGCCATTAAGCTCATATAGTTAGTAATGTTTATTGAAAGCACTTATCATTCAATCTATAAGGGATCAGTATTACCGGTACTACTATTAACACAGTACTAGACAGTATTCAGTACTTGTGTGTTTGCAGTACAGTACAGTAGTATCATATGTAGAGTACGTGTAGAAGCCTGTGTATTTGTATGCACGTAAATACTTACATACGGTATCATGTACGTACCAGTACATCCAAACATTTCCCCCCACGTCTGTCCTTTTTCCGCCCAGCACGTGCCCCCTGCGCACAAGCCATCTCTTTCTAATCCGATTCTCCATTTTTTCCCCTCCTGTTAAGTAATTGGGAACCGCATGTGAAGAATGAAATTTGATACGCCCCCTTTTTTTAGACTTGTATTTCTCCACAATCCGATGGACCATCCGACTTCTTTTTTGAATAGTTGCACGTAGTTTCTTCCTTGAAGTTTTCAGCCATGTGCTCAGAGTTCGGAGGGTCCTCTGGTTGTGGAATTTTAACTGGTTCGAGTATCGCCCGTTGCGCGCGTGCGCAAAAATGGTAGAAGTATGATCTTTTCCAACCGGCCGGTAGTTTTATTCTGCTGTAGAGGAAACGGAAACGGAAACGATGTCGATTGAACCACAGTGGGAACCGGCAAACCGTCTGCTTCCTTCCCCAGCGCCCAAAGGCGGTGCCGTGCCACGCCATGCCGCACCGCAAGGGGAGTGCTCCGCACCACGGGACAAACGGCCGGGGGTGGAGGAGACGGCTCGCGCTGCTGGTGGTGGTGCTCTCTGAATCGATCCTCGTGTCGAGGCACCTGCTGCGCAACGCCACCGTCCCGCGCCGCGGCGGCGCGGAGGCCTCCGCGGAAGAAGTTCCCGTCCACAGGGAATCGGGTTGCGCGGCCTCCGACGTGCTGCGGATCCTCCACGCGGGGTCACGGATCGAGGTCCACCTCGCGCCGAACCGGCGGTGCTCGCACCCCGTCTTCGCCGGGAGGATCTCCGGGGCCGCGCTGGCGCCAATCGCCTTTTCGGTATCCGGCGGCGGCGCAGCGGACGTCGCGGTCGGAACCTACGATCCGCGCCAGCTGCCGGCGTCCGCCGAACGATACTATGTCGAGATCGTCGAGCTGTTGTGCGAGGACCCCCTCGGGTGGAGGGGCGGCGACGGAGACGCCAACGGACCCGATCTGACCGGGGTGTGCCTCCGGGACACGGCCCGCGACCACCACAGAATCACAGCCGCAAGGGCCTCCATCGGGGTCCATCCAGGTGCCGCGGGCCGGGGGCCGACGAGTCCGGGACCTCCCGTCCCCGGGCGGTGGCTCCACGAGGCGTGGTCCGAGCGGAACGGAAGGCGGGGTACCGCAGCACCACCGGCAAACGCCACCGAGCCGCTGTACACGAGGTACCAGCCGCGGGGTTGCATGGCTTCCGCCCGAAACTTCAAGGCCACCAAAAACACGACGGCCTGCCTGCGGGCCGCGGATCGGTCTCGCTTCCGGCCGTACGCCTTTCGCTGGAGGGAGGACGGCCCCCTCTCGAACCTCAACAAACCCTACCTGTCCCTGATTCCCAGGGACCGGGCTGCCGTCCCGGGGGAAAGCCACGGCCGGAGCGAGGACAGCACCGAGCGCAACCACCAGCAGCACGTGTGCTTCGTGGGGTCGAGCCACTCTCGAACGCTCTGGAGAAAGTGCGAGTCGTTGGTGCGGCGCACGAAGGAGAGACAACACCGACAGGAGCAGCAGCAACAACAACAGGGTCCTCGTTCCCCGCCGCCCCTCGACCTGAAATGCTCCTTCGTCGACGTGAAGTTTCCCTTCCAGATCCTGCGGGGCTGCCCTCTCCGGCTGTCCCCGGAGGAATGCAGGCGGAAGGTTCCGCCACCGGCCGCGACGAACCCAAACCAAGGGCCTTCGGAGCAGGCTTCCGCCTGGGCAACGGAGCACGTCGGGAATCGGAAGTGCACGCACGTTGTCCTGGGATTCTTCCAGTGGCCCTTCAGCCTGTACCAGACCGAACCAAAGCTCACCTTTCGCCGGTGGAAACAAGACATGGTGGACCTAGTGGACGCCTTCCGACGGGCCTCGGTGGCGAGCCGCCACCCCGGCGAGAGCGGGCTTTTCCCCGGAGCCATCGTGCTGCGATCGGTCCACGCCAACGGGTGGAAGGAACACGTTTCCGATTGCCCCCCCACCGACTTTCGGACCCCCTACAACGCGCGCGTGTGCAACCGGATGCTGGGGGAGATCGCTGAGTCCTTCGGAGCGGGCGGCGGCCCGAACGGGAACGACACGGCCGCCGAGGTCTTTTTTGTCGACACCGGGTTTGTCACGGATCCCGTCTGGGACTCGGCGGAGGACTGGAGCCACCACGGCGGCGAGGTGGGGACCCAGGAGATCAAGTACCTCTTGTACGAGATGTTCAAGAAGGACTACGGGTTCGCGGCGTAGCTTCCACGGCCGCCTGCCCGGGTGGGATCGGTTCGGATCGGTTGTAACGCCGGAAACCGTCTCGGCCCGTTCGAAACAGCACGGCACGGCGTGGCACAGCAACACAACGGCGGAATGCGATGTTGTGCCATGCGTTGCAATGCACGCTCCTTTTGGATCGTTCCGTGTCTGTTGCGACGATCTGGTTAGTGGATGCCGTAAAAGTGCGAGGGGCGCGGCAATGTCGTATCTATGTTTGCAGTGATGCGGGAGAACGAACGGCAAGCAGGACAGATGCATGGCGACAGAGCATTTTTCTTCCGACTCCGTCATTGCGTTGGGTTTTAGTGCAACTTTGTCATTGCGTTGGATTTTAGTGCTGTGGCATGTGAACAAAAGCAAGAAGAACCTTCCTGGAATATGACCTACTACCGTTAGAGGAAAGGACGAAGAGGTTGCCAAGTTACTTTTGTTCCTGGTGGTATTCATTGTTTATTGTCTTGTAGCCTTTTTTTGCCAAACACAGTTATGCGTTTGCTGCTGCTGCTGCTGTTTTGGCCTTTCCGCGGCACCAACAATTAGGTATTGTACTTTCTTACGAGCAGTTTCAGTGTAGACCCACCGTGTGCTTTCGTCCCGCAACAAAAAGGATTTTCGAAGTTTTACGAGTGAAGGTGGTACCTGGTACTTGTACGTACGTACCGTACGGTACGATACCTGGCTTGTAGTCCGGCCGCATGCAATATCATTATCAGCTACCGTACGTACCGTACGGGTTTGAAGAAACCCTGCGGGTATTTCGTTCTAGTACATACTACTAGTATTGTACGGTACGTACTACATGCCATTGCATACTGGTACCCTACCGTAGATTGACATGCCAACCCGAAACCGGAACCCAAAAAGATCCAACCTTGAGCGCCGTCGCTACCGTATCGTACCATAAGTACCAAGTACTTCCGCAGGGGGAATTTGTTCGTTTCGATTGGGACTCTCGGTGTGTGTTGTTGAATGCCTTGTTGTTCTCGAACGCCGGTCGTTGGTCGTGTGTTGGGTTTTGTTTGCTTTCGAGCCATCCAAACACACACACACACATACATATACACCAGCCAGCCGACTTACCAACGATCCATCCATCTGCACACCCCGATCGGGACCTGATTCCTCGTTGGTGCCCCGGCCGACCCGTCCTGGCGTCTCCTGTTTGTTGTTCGTTCCTTCCGGTGGTGTCGTTTTGCCACGATGGCGGAAGGGTGCTGCGGCAATCCGGGCCTCCGTCCCTGCAAGCAAACACCGGGACCGGGCCGGAGGGCGGCGGAGCATCGCTCGGAGGGCGCTTCTTGCGCCGGTGTGTGTCTTTCCCCAGGAGACAATGGCACGCAAGCAGCCGCAACAGGAACAGAAACAACGGCAGCAGCAACAGCAACACCGACTTCAACGCCACCACACGATCCGTGGACCTACCACACTCGCGCAAACCATCATCAACAACAACAACAACAACAAACCCGCCACCTGGAGTTCCCCCTGGGCGGATTCGGGACTGGCAACGTCTTGCTCACGGGAGACGGGAGGCTCGACGGGTGGGACGTCCTCAACCAGTTCCGCAACCCCGAGTACACCCCCCTCCATTCGCTGCCGGTGCTGCCGGGGGACGACGGGACCGGGAGCAATTGCTGGGCGATCTCCGCCGTCCCGGACGGCGACGAGAACCCGGGAGCCTCCCGCCGGTCGCTCCTCCTGCGGTCCGCCGATCGTGGTGGCGGAAGCCCTCCGCGGACGCACGGATCTCCGGACGCGAGCCCGGTGCCTGCCTGCGTCCCGGGCCTGGCCTTCCGCGCCAGGTATCCGATCGCGGAGGTCTCTTACGAGACCCCCCCGTCCTTTCCCCTGGGGGACGTCTCGCTCGAGGCGATGACCCCGCTGGTGCCGACCGCCACGAAGGAGTCGAGCTACCCGATGGCGGTCTTTGCGATCTCCTTTTCGAACACGCACCCGACCCGGACGGTCTCCGTCGACGTGATGCAATCGACCCTCAACTTTGTCGGGTGGGACGGCGGACGAGAGCGCGAACGCGAAAGCAAACGACACGGCTCGAGTGGCTGCACCGGAACGAAAGGGTCATGGCCCGATCGAACCGCGCGCCTCCCGGCCTGCCTGTGGGGGGGAAACACCAACCAGCCCTTTGCGCACACGGGTCCCCCCTCTCCCAGTGCCGGGAGCAAAAACGAGGACGGGAGCCGTCCCTCCCACGGCGAAACGAGCGACCGCCGCCGCCGCTCGTGCACCGGCCTGTTCCTGTACAGCCAGAACGGCGACCTGGAGGGGGACCTCTCCCGGAAGGGATCCGTCGCCCTTTCCGCGATCCATCCCCCGGGGCCGGAGCCAGCGGCGTGTTCTCCGGCGATCGGGCTCATCGGGGGCGTCGGGTCCTCGGCCGAGCTCTTTCGCCGGTTCCGAGACCGCGACTTCGAGGCCCCCCCGGGGGCCGGACAGGCCGCCGGGCCACCCCCGTCGCGCGACGGGACCACCTACATCGGTGCCGTCGTCCAGTCCTTCACGGGGATTCCCCCCGGGGCGACCGTGGAGGCGGTCTTTTGCCTCTCCTGGCACTTTCCCTACCGGCCCTGCACGGCTCCCAGGGACAACCTCCCGGGCGACTGGTTCGGGAACCGATACACCCAATGGTTCGGAAACGCGATGGAGGTGGCCTGCCGGTTCTGCGACACGTTTTCTACGGGGATCGTTGCGGAGGCAGGCGCTTGCCTTGGAGCAGGCGCTGGCGGCCGCGATCGCAAACACGACAACCATTGTGGTGCCGGTGCCGGTGCGGATGGAAACAAAAGCGAAAACAAAAACGAAAACGAAGAAGCCCCGGCTGTGAATGCGACGAACGGCGATGGCGCGATGGCACAGAGCGAGAAGGGGACCGGGCATGCGCTTGACACCAAGCCCCCCAAGAACCTGCTAGAACTCACGCGGCTCTACGTGGAAACCCTCTATTCGTCCACGATTCCCTGGGAGATACTCGAGAGCGCCGCCGGGAGGGTGGCGGTGGCCCGCAGCCCGACGATGTTCTGGACCGAATCCGGAATCGTGCTGGGGAACGAGGGAAACGAGTGCTGCCCGCTGAACTGCACACACGTCTACGGGTACACGACGCTGCTGGAGCGGCTCTTTCCCGATCTTGCCAGGGACATGCGGACGAGCGATTTCGTCCGCAACTTCGACCTCTCCACCAAGGGAGGCTGCACCACCCGCTTCGGGGGAGACGACCCCTTTGCCATCGATGGCGGCCTGGCCTGCGTCATCAAGACCTACCTCGTGGTCCTGCAATCGGATCCCGGGCTGGAATTCTTGAAATCGGTCTGGCCCGGCGTCAAGGGGCAGATGGAAGAGGTCTTTGCCAAGCACCTGGACGCAAAGGCCGGGGTGATCCTGGTTCCCCAGCAAAACACCTACGACACCGCAATGGAGGGTGCCAACACCTTCATCGGCTCGTACCTCGTAACGGCCCTGCGGGCCACCTCGGCGATGGCGACCTGGATGGGGGACGTCAATTTCTCCAAAAAATGCGAGAAGCAAGCCGAGGTTTCCCGTGCCAAGTACGAGGAGCTCTGCTGGAGGGAGGACCTCGGATACTACGTTGCCGACGTGGACGAAACCAATTGCCAGAACAGCTACGGCCCCGGTTGCTTCATCGACCAGCTGGCGGCGATCGGGCTCTCGGCGGCCTGCGGCCTCGGGCACGTCTTCGATCCAGACCGCGAGGCGAGGGCCCGTAGGGCCATCGTTCGGAACAACAAAGTGTCCTGCCCGCCCTTTCGGGACCAGCAGTGCCACCTGTTCCAGGGAGACTCGGGACTGAGGGTCTGTACCTACCCCAACGGAAAACTCGGCAGCGGGATGGTGTACTCCGATCTTGTTTCGAGCGGCTTTGCCTATCCGGTGGCCGCCGGTTGCCTCCTGGACGGGAACTGGGAGGACGCCACGCGCATCTGCCGGATGATTCGTGACCGGCAGTCGGGGGTCCACCGCAGCCCCTGGAATGAGCCGGAATGCGGCCAGTATTATGCCCGGAGCATGGCCGGGTGGAACCTCCTGGACCAGGCCTGCGGATTCTCCTACGACTCCACGAAGGCAGCCATCGGTTTCCGACCGGGCATACATGCCACGTCGTTTTCGTGTTTCTGTACCTTTGCCGGGGGCTTTGGGGAATTCCGACAAACCGGAACCACCACCACCGCAAACGGCACCGTCCTTGCCGAGGGGACGGTCCGGCTCGGGGTTCTCTACGGTTCCACAAAGTTGAAGACGATTCGGTTGAACACCACCGCGCGCGTCGTGAAAGCCTCACTGGACGGCAAGAGCCTGGACGCATCGATCGACGCCACCGGCGCGGTTGCTCTCGCCTCCGAGATTACCATCGGAGAAGACTCGGTTTTGACACTGATTCTGTCCGCTCCCAGTGGCCACGAAACCAAGGAAAGAACCTTTTATCCGAACGGAGCAGCCACGCAGGAACCACCACCAACCCGGAAACAGCCATCGTCCGTGTCGCCGTGCACGGTGTTTGCTCCCATCCAAACAAAAGTGGCGGCCGCGATCATCCTGATCGGTGCGATCGTTGCAATCCGCTTTGCTCTATGTTCTTGCGGCGGTGCTCTTGGTTTCCTTCGCGCCTCAGAATCATAACGGCTCGGGCTCGACCGAGTTTAAGGAACGGGTTGCTGGCGTTGTACGGTTTTCTTTCTCTAGTTTTCGGGAGTTACAAATGCTACTGGTACGCAGCAAAACAACAAGTAACACCTGCCCATGACACCGCAACAATAGTTTTAAACAATTCTATAGATGTCTAGGATAGAAAGATAGGCGCGCTAGCACATTTGTTTGTAGGACGAGATCCGATCTTCTGTGGTTTTCACTCGGTCAACCTCCCCGTGGTTTTCAGTCGCTCTAGTTCTCGCCACGTGTACTGCGAATCGGGATCTACGATCGGGGTGGGCCATGAACCATCGAAATCCCAGGGCCGCAGGTGAAAGTCGGGGTGGCGGACGCCTTCGCGGACGCCCTCGCGGCCCTCCTCCCTTTCCGGTGGATCCCGCAGGGACGGCAGCCACTTGCGCACATAGGCGCCGGAGGGATCGTACTTGAGTGCCTGGGAGACGGTGCAAAAGTGCCGCTGCTTCGGATCGGGGCCGACCCCAGAAAAGTATAGCCAGTTGCCCCAGTTGGCGGCGACACAGTGGTCGGCCAGGAGGAACTGGAACCACTCGGCGCCGGCCCTCCAGTCGAGCGCCAGGTCCTTTGCTAACACGCTGGCCGCGTTCTGGCGGACCCGGTTGGAGGTGTATCCCGTCGCGAGGAGCTCCCTCATGCCCGCGTCGACAAGGGGGAGGCCCGTGGTTCCCGTCGCCCAGGCCCTCCAGAGGTCGAGCGCTTCCGAAGGCTCCTTGCCGGAGCGGGTGGGGGACGGCGGCAGCGGCGTCGACCCCCTTTTGTGGCCGTGCGGGGTAGGCGTTCGCGTTTGCGGTTCCGGGAAAAAGGGCTTCCATTCCATCGCAGCGGCTTGTTTCTGGCTGATTGGAATCCCCTCCAAGCGGTAAAACTTCTTGCCGGACGCTAGGCACGTGTACAAAAAGAAATCGCGCATCGTCATGTGGCTCACCAGCCAGGTGCCATCGTTTTCGCGGGCGTTGTGGCCACGAACACGGCTCGCGTTGTCGCTGTCGTTGTTCTTGTTGTGGTTCTTCCGTGTCTCGCCGCTGCCGGGGTGGGGCTCGCCACCGTCGTTCCCGCCTTGCGCCTGCCTGCGCTTGGCAATGGCGGCGTCGGCCACCCCGACGACGGTCCGGGGGGACAGGCACCCAAAGGCCAGGTACTGGCCGAGGTGGGAGCTCTGGTGATCGTCGACGCACGCTAGGCTCCGCTCGGCTCGGTGGAGGTGGTGATTGCAAAAGTCGGAAAGGTGTTTCAGGGCGGCGGTTTCTCCCCCGATCATCGTTGTGGTCGTGTTTGCTACTCCTGCTTCCGCCGGTGATCCCCTTCCAGCGGGGCTCTCGCCGCGATTCTTTTGGTGGATCCGAATCGAATTGTAGCAGGCTTCCCGGATGACGGCCGGTGGGAGACCCAGGATGGGTTTCTTTCCGTGGTCATAGTCCTCGCCGTCGCCCACGTAGAGAAGGAGGGGCTCCAGGAGGCTTTCCAGCGTTGGCATCGGCCCCGGATCGATGCCTCCGCCCGCCGCCTCCGGGGGTTCTTTCGTCGCAGCATCGCCACTTCTGACCCTCGCATCGGTGTCAGCGCCGTGTAGAACAGCATCACGAGCAGCACCAAGGGCATCGCTGCTGTGGGAATCGCAGGCCCGCACCCCAGCCCGCTCGCGGGCAATCCTGCGAAAGTCTCCCATGATCCGGGGCATGCCGGACCACCGCTCGACCGAGAGGTCCACCAGGTCGTGAGGGCCGGTTGTTCGCGGTGCTTTTGCCGCACCGGGTAGCCCTTCCGACGGGAGACTTCCGGGTGGGTCCTTCCCCCCGCCCCCGCGGCGCAGGAGCTGCTTCTGCCTCTTCCGCTGGTTTTCCAGGCGGCGTTTCTCTTTTTTGCTCATCGGCGTCCAGCTCCCGGCCCCGGGCAGGTCGTCCGGGTGGTAGAGCGTGCACGACAGGGCGGTTCGGAGGGTGACCACCACCTGTTTGCGCTTGTGGGTTTTGCCCCCGTAGCTTGAAGGCTCGCAACCACCTTTGCCGTACCGATCCAGGATGGCGTCCCGGACGGCACCGGAGAGCTCGAGCTCGTGCCACCCAGGTTCCTCGTTCCAGCAGACCTCGTATTCGTATTCGCATTCGCTGCTTTCGTTGCTTTCGTCGAGGGTCACCAGCTCCTCTAGCAGCCCCATGAGGACGGGAACCGTGGGCCCCCTTCGTACCACGAGCGGCTGTTCCGGTTGCGGCTGCGATTGCGATTGCCCTTGCGGCCGTTTCGGGAGGAAACTCTGCCTCCGGAGGTCTTCTACGGATTCCAGGAGCACCCGCATTCCGTGCGGACCGAGGTTGGGAACGGTCCCCCAGTCGCCGGGCAGGCACGTGGAGGGCCTGGTAGGAACGAACGGATCGGATCCGATGGCGCCTCCCTTTCCCGCCACCGGTGCCGGCTCGTCAAAGACAAAGACGCTTGTCGTGGGAACACCACGGTCGCCGCCGCCGTAAAAGGGGTGGTCGTGAAACCGAAGGTCTCTGTTTCGGTGCCATACCAATCGCCGTTTCCTTCGGACCAAGGAGGGCGTCTCTGCGTCCCGCTTGAGCATTTGCCGTTGCATCCGTGTCGTGCGTGTTTGCGCCGTTCGTTGGCGACGAGGATGGAATCCGCAACAGTCGTTCTTCCGCAGCGGCGGCGGAAGGGCGAGCGAAAACGCGGGTGTGACAGCGGCAGCAACCGCAACGACAAGGAGAACGTAACACCAATGCGTTGTTTTGGGAAAGCAATCGCGGGCCACGGCGCTGTCTCCTCCCATCGAATCGAATTGTATCGAATCGATTCGGTTCGGTTCGGTTCAACCAGCCGAAAGCAAATCCGATGCGAATCCACGCAGACTGCAATCCGAGAGGCGTCCCGTCGCAGTCGTTGCCAAGAATACCAGTGCTGTCTGCGGCTGCGAATCTTCAACGGAAAACACGGCGTAAAATTTTAATTGTCACGAATGGGCTTTCTAGTGAATGAGATGAAATGAGGTGCAGGTACCAATAATGGAAATCAAATACAGTAAATGTTTGCTTTTCTCATTACTGGAAATCTATTGATTCTTTTTAAAAATATCTCGCTTATTTTTAATAAATTACTACTGTAGTTGATTCCCAGTAATGAGAAAAAAAGCAATCAGCAGATTTCAGATTTCCAGTACTGGTGTCCTTTGCAGCAAGTGCTGGGCATACAATCCTTTACCTTTACCTAGTGATAGTAGTGCATTGGTTAAGTTTATGGAGCTGTCTTCTTTGATTCCATCCCCTAAATTGCACTGATACACTCCATAGAATTGGAAGACTTGGAATGTCTAAAGGGCCTCCATGGGAAGGAAAGGGGCCTGTAAGAACAAGCTCAGTTCCTTTTTGGCACAAACAGTGCTTGTGCCTTATTCCCTTCTCTTAGAAGCCCAGCCTGAACACAACACGGGCAATCAACATCTGAAAACATCTTCAATAGCTAGATGCTGGCTTGGATTCCTCCACTCAGCTCTGTTTGTTAGCCTCGTTGGCTCTTATGTTAGTTGGTGGTGAGTTATGAAAGGGTAGTGACTGCAGCAGTCAAAGCATCAGATTGCAAATGCAACAACAATGCACTCTTTTGGAATGTCCCTTGCAGACATCTTCCTTCCCAGCTTCTTTTCTGTCCCCACAGCTCTGTAGCCTCTCACGGTGCCCCCACCGAGGGCCTCCATCCGGGAGGCCGGGGCCAGCTCCCGGTTCGCGCAGGCCACGTTGCGTTGCGTTGCGAATGGATGAAACCGCAACCGCACACCCTCAAAACACAATTTCACATTCCGTGCCCCCCCCCCCCCTAACGCTATTCCTTGGCCACGTGGCTGGTTCATCCATCCGCCAAAGCAGGTTTCTCTCGTCGATATGACATTACCCAGTACCCACTCGTACGGTAGTAACGTATGATGACGTTTCGTGCCGGACTGTGCTGGTTCTCGTACGGTGAGAACAGCTTGTTTGATTGATTTTTTTTTAATTCCAATTACACATTTCGTGTTGACATTTTGACAACACTTAATGTTTCATTCCAATTACACTATGATTCCTTTCATCTTGGGCTTCTTCACCCCCTACGAGGTTCTTCTTTTAGGTTCTTTATAATACCCTATGAAGACGATGGAAAACAGGACATTTTTGGGAGCGAAGTGAACAAGAGCGACAATATCGACACGTGATTCCTACAAAAAAATCTTCGCTCAAGGAAGTTCAATTTGCAACTATACCTCCCGTTCGAGTAGGACGGACGGAAACTTGGCGGTAGTTCATTTTCCTCAAGGTGTAAGTGGAATCTAGGAATGTGGGATGAGTTGATTGATTTGGTTTGGTTTGATTTTATTTGATGCATGTTGTTTGTGACCGCCGGTGGACCTCATCTCGCGGGGAAACGGAAGGCAAACCCGAGACGAAAGAGAGACCCGGTGGTGTCGTTCGGCGTGTGTCTCCGAAGCGATCTTCCTCTCCGTCGCATTCGCAATCCCGCCACCCAAACGCGAGCCCGGCGCAACACCGTAGCCCCATCGATACCGCAATGCCCCGGTTGGTTTGCGGCCCAACCGGTTCCAATTTGGCGATACGAAAACTCCTGACCGTTGCCGTTCCATTGCCTGCCATTAAAAGCTCACGGCTTTGCTGCCGTTTTGCTTTGTTCTTTTCCAACCACAACAGATTATCATCGCAGCCACGTGTTCTCGGCTGTATGGGTACAATAATGCGCCCTTTGCTCCTCTTTTTGGCAGCCATTCCAATCGTCGGCGCCGTTAGTGGCGACGTGGACCCTTCAGAAAACCCCTTTCGATTCGCCAATGAACGCCCACAGCTATGGAACCTCGCCGACGATAGCGATCGTCACAACGGGCGCCAGGAGCTGGTCCGCGCACTCGAGGGCGAAGTCGACTGCGCTACCGCCTGTCCGTCCGATCGTCCCGAGATTGGTGTTTCGGGCGACGCTTTCCAGAACCTCGTCAAGGAATGCGTCGAGGGGTCCAGCTGCCCCCATCCTCTTCCGATCAATTGCTGGGACACATCGAAGGTTAGCAACATGGATCGCGCGTTCTACCTTATGCAGAAATTCGATTCTCCTTTGCATTGCTGGGATACATCGAAGGTGACGAGCATGCAGAGCATGTTCCACAAGGCCATCAAGTTCAACCAACCAATCGGCGCTTGGGACACGTCCAAAGTGAAATACATGAACTACATGTTTTTCGCGGCACGCAAATTCAATCAACCAGTCGAATCTTGGGATACTTCGGGAGTACAAAACATGTTCGGGCTGTTCAGCAGAGCGGTTTCGTTCAACCAGCCCGTTGGAAAGTGGGTTGTGACAAACGTTAACTACATGGAAAGATTGTTCAACTCTGCATACGCATTCAATCAGCCAATCAACTCGTGGGATACGTCGAATGTTTATAACATGAAGCACATGTTCTTCGACAGCATCTTCAATCAACCAATCGAATCTTGGGACATTACCCACGTGACCGCCATGAACATGATGTTCGGCAAAGCGGCCGTCTTCAACCAGCCAATCGGCAAATGGGATACCTCACACGTAAACAACATGAGAGGAATGTTCTCCAACGCAACTGCATTTAACCAGCCACTAGATTCGTGGGATATTTCGAAGGTTAAAAACACGATGGATATGTTCGCGGAAGCAAATTCCTTCAACCAGTGTCTTTATTTGTGGCCCTCGGAGGTAGCAGGGCGGTCAAAACCTCCTAAAACAAATAGAATGTTCACCAACAGCGGCTGCCCAAACAAGTCCGCGGCTAATAGTTTGGAAACGTGGTGCCAGACCAAAGACGATTCGTGCGCTGCACCGACCGCCGCACCAACTCCAAGCCCAACTGTCAGCAGTAGGCCTTCATTCAAGGGGGAAACATGGGAGCCGAGCAACTCTCCAACCGAAACTCCTCAGACTGAGATCCAGTTTACTGTCCAGGTCATCATTCCTCCAGATGAGGTTGACGCCTACCTCGAAACCTACATCAAAAATATGAGAAAATTTTTGATCGAGCAGTTTCTCGCAGAAAATGGCGGCCGTCGACAACTAGAGCCGGAACTTGAGATAGCAGCAGATCAAGAGGCTATCGATGAAGATGTTGATGTCGACCTGATAGTTGAGCTTGTTCGATGCGATACATTGGAAGATCAGCAGAATGCTGATCCCGGAGCTATGTGCCTAGTAACGACGTTTCGGCTCGTTGCATCACCAGAGAGCGGCGTGGTACCCAATGAAATTGCTTCCAACATCGAAGATTCAATTGCAACCGGAGATTTCGAAAAGGATCTAAAAACCAAGGCAGACATAGGTGGCGAGATTCTTGGTGTGTCGGTTCCCCCTAGCGAAGAACCAAGTTCTGCTCCGTCGGTCGTCGCAAGCAATGCTCCATCGGTGGGCCCTGATCCCGCCGAAGGCAACATCAACACCTGGGAGTTGTTGGGGGTTGGCAAACCAGAGGAAAACAAGCCAAGCGCCATTGTTGTATCCATGGATCCGTTTTTTGTCGGTATGTACCACAGCAAATGATGAGTTGCGATGTGGTGTGGTGTGGTATTCGTCGCATCGGAAAACTCGTGCAATCTTTTTCTGACTCTGTACTTCCTCGTGACTCACGAAATTCTTCACACCTGAATCAAAATCCCCCAAAACCATTTCGCTCGCCAGGGGAGGTTTACTTCGAGGCCAACCCAAAGAAGCTCTCCGACAATCCCGGCAAGCCCCTATACGGAAAGATCTATGCCAATGCTCCCGCATACGGGGGCTGCGACCAGGGAACTATGCTGGGCTTTGGAACCCTCGACTCACAGCTCGACGAGGACGTCATGACGCTCCTTCCCCGTGCCTTCGACGAGTATTCTTCTCTATACCGCTTCCCCGGCCAACCATTCCCGCAGACCAAGAACGGACGGATTGGGAAGACGGTGTTCAACATGACGGATCCCTTCGCTTTCGGTGAAAGCAGTGGCGATAGCCAGATCTGGTTTCCCAACGAGAATACTCAAGCACTCACCAAGGCCAACGATGAAGCCAACTCTGGCAAGGTCGGACAACTACCGAGCTCATGGTCGACTTTACGGGGACGAACCCAGGAGATCCCCCGGACAATGTCATCGATACCGTCTCTTTTGTGGACACGCGGTTCGTCGTCGACGTCATAATTCGTTCCAGATTCGGCTCGATCTTCACCCGCGTATCCATCGAACAGACGGACGCAACCTCCGCGGAGGCAAAGGTATCCGAGTCTGTCGACGTCACAGCCTTTGTCTGTGACGAGAACGGGGAGAGATTCGATGACGATAGCACCATCCAGTTCACGATCGGTCAGTACTTTCGGCTGTGCGTTTCTGTTTTGAACGACGACGAAACAAATGAGTTCAAGTATCTTCCCAGCCGGTTCGAGGAAGTGATTTGCAAGAACGATGGCCTGTCGCGTTATCTCGTGGATGACTACGAGGCCGACGGCCTGACCGAGGTGGATCTCTCAAAGGCTGCTTCCAACATCCTGAGTTTGAAATCGGTAATCACGGCGGGGTATTTTGCCAAAGACGAAACCACGTTCGACTGCAGCGGAACGGTGTCTCTCACTACTACCACAAACAATCGTCGCCGTCGTGCCGAGGAGCGCAACGGGAAAACCGCAGCAACGGAAGCCTCCTTTGGTCGCACGTTTCAATTGGCACCGACCAACAAAATGCCACTGCCTCCTTCTCCTTCGGCGAACAGATCGTTCCGAGTCCTTTATGGTTGGTTGATTGCCTTCGTTTTAGTACTTTTGTAAATGACGGGGATCATTGTTAAGAGTTCGGTGTGTTCTTTTTGTGCCCAAAAGAATCTTCGTTCTGGTCACATCCTATTGAATTGCATCGTTGTTCGAATCCTTTAGTGCGGTAAGTCCACTGCCTCCTCATGAGTTACGAGTACTGTACCATACGATACGATACCGTAACGTAGACTGAATACAGTAGTACCGTAGTCGTCGAAGAAAAAATCTTGAGTTCGAGGAGAGTATGGAAGGGTACCAGGTACCAGTTTGAGCGATAAAAAATGCGTTAATCATAAGCCTACTAAGTCCTACATAGCCTCAAGTCATTCTATTCAAACAGAAAAATAATTACCAGTAAAATCGCAGTGTTTAGTACTGATCCTACATAGATCTACTGGTATTCAGTCACTCTTTCAACCCCAAACAGTTCAATAAGCTAACCACAACAGCTCAGGAAATGCCTCTAATGAGATGCCCTTTGGGGATATGCTCAATCAAAGTGTTAAGAATAGTGCTGTGTGTCATTGTTACATGGTTACTAGGGGCCAGCCAGGGCAGAGCACATTCTCCATTAAGAGCCGCATTATGGCCAAAATTGGCCAGTGGAGACCAGCACTGTTAGAAAATAGGCCAGAACTCCATCAAAAACAACTTCAGACCACCAGACTAAGCACCCAGACCAAGTTGATACAATTACTTGTTAGAGATCCAGGAGGTCATAGGGAAGCCAAATGATGCTCTAGTGGCTTGGAACTAGTCAGCCAAAGTTACAGGTAGTGAGGGGTCAAAAAATCGTTAATTCTAGGGGTAATTTTATATTGCTTCAACTGGTACCACATTTTAAAGTTTCAAAATTAAAAACCTTGGGTGATACCTGGTAATAGAATGATAAATTAGCATTTCTAGTAACAATTCACAACAATATTGGGAATCAAATTTTTGAGGGACAGACAACAAGGAAGGCAGGTTTCATCTCAGTCTTTTTGATAATCTGGAATCTTAAATGGTTTATAATGGCACTGGTATGCACTTCTGTCAAATCTTTGAATCTTATGTACAAAATTTTGATTCTTGGGTTATAGAATAGATTTGGCACATTTAGAATGGGGTCTGTTGACCCATTCTAAAAATGCTAAATCTATGACAACATGTCATAGATTTTTGGTCTGTCTGTCTGTCTATCAAATTTAGAATTTCTATTACAACAGGAATCACCCATAAAATTGTTTGGTACTGTGCCAGATAAATTGTACAGTACTGTGCCAGTTAATTGGTAATAAAATGCATTTATTGTTAAAAACCTCCTGAAGGCTACTTGGGAAAAAGTAACCTTACTCAAAGGGATTTTTCCATATTATTGCTAAAACACCATCTTCACCATGGTGAGACTGATTTCTTGACAACCAGAGCACCTACTATGAGCACAAGAAGGGTACCACCATTACAAACCTCTTTGTCTGATAAATAAGCTTGTTGAATGTTGTTTGTATTGCTTTTGATCTCACTGCACTCACTTCTTAGCTACTAGTACTGCATATCTACACAGGGCAAAATGACAAGAATTCAATGATTTTCAGCACTGCCCATGGAGACATATGTATCTTTATAACCAAGAAGCCAGATCTTTATTGGAATTTGACAAGTGGAAAGAGCTAGTGTGGTGTTTTTACTGTGAAGGAGCAATCAATAGCAAAAATAGTGAGGATACTATGGACTGTTTTGGAGGAGGTTTCAATCTCAGAGAAGGATTCATTTTTGATACTCCTACTAGTAGTACTAGCTAGCACTTCTTCTTGTTGTTGTTTTGGAGATGGAGCAGGTTCCATGCAAATCTCAATCATTTTGGCCCCACTGGAATCTTGTAAATCTTGTAAAATTAGAGGGCAATTATATGGGCGGGATTCCAAATTCCAAAAATGGGGGGAACTATTTAATGTCAGCAAGCCTGCTGAGTTTTAAGTACAAATACTACCACTGAAAGTGCTTCCAGAAAACATTACGCGGGAATGACCCATTGACGAGTACCGATAGAAAGGCCTTGAATTTAAGAAAGCAGAACTGCACGAACCGTAGGGAACTACGAATAACCTTACTGTAACAATAGTACCGTACCGGTACGGTAGAGCACAATGTCATACGATACGTTGGGACCTAGTGCTAGCTAATTTTCTACGTTCGCCCGTACGTAGTAGCAGATGTATTTTCATCGTACCTGAAAAAAGGCCATTCGGCTGGTGTACTCGTGCTGATGGCGCAGGATTAATAAGATACCACCCGCCGTAAGGCTGAAAACATTCTTTCTTCGAAGTACCGGTATTGTAGTGATGGATGGAACAGAGGCGTGTACTTCCTGAACAGAACAACAACGTCAAGAACAAAACAACTACAAAAATATAAGAAAACAAAGAGTTTCCTTTCGATTTTACTCCACTCCACTCTACCCTTCCCTGGTATCCTCTTCTTGTTGTTCTATCCTGCTGTACTCGACTCGATCGTTCCCGTACGTTTGTTTCGCTCTAATCCGTTTTGTTCCCGAAGATGCCCGAGGCAAAGAAGAGAAAGCACCTGCGTGAGGCGATCCTCCGCGCTCCGTTGTGTTGCTTGCTGATGATGATACCGTTGCTTCCATCGCCTGCAACCGCAGCAAAACAGGAACCCTTGCCACCCGACAATAATGAAAAGTCGTTCTGGCTCAACGTCGATGGGGAGGCCGGTACCTTCGAGGTGACCTACTCGAAACTCGCCGGCGTCCCCTCGCTAGAGATGTTCGACATGAGTGACGAGATCTACCAGAGCCTCAACCTGTTTGCCATATCCCACGGAGACGGCAGCCACCGCAACCGCGTGGACGATTGGAACAAGGAAGGGGCGAAGAACGCCAACACCAACGGCCACGCGCGTGGCCCGGCACACCGGCTCCTCGATTGGACCATCGGGGTGGACGGCCGCATTTCGGGGAGCCTTCCGCCAGAATTGGACCGCTCGCCCTCGTCTTCTGTCGTCGTGAGTGGCCGCTTCGAACCGACCAAGACGGGGACGCAGCACCATTTCTTGTCGGACCAATTGCTCCACAAGAACTCTCCCATCAAGATTCCGGCGCACGAAACCATGAAGGAAAAACCCTTTTTTGTCGAGCTGGTGGGCTGCGATTCCGAGCTGGTGGCCACCGTCCACGGCGTCTCGGACCACGAAGAGAACGACGCGCTCGTGGTGTGTTTCTACGAGCTCGGACTGGGGGAACCCCTTGGGTGCGCGGAGGCCTCCTTCGAGGCGACCCAGCGCGTCACGGCGGACACGGCGATTGCCAGGATTTCTCTCGCGGAGTCCGAGAAGAAGGCTCCCGAAAACCGCGCCACGATCTTTGCTAGTGTCCGAGCCACCTTTCCCCCGACCGATGGAAGCGGCACGGGCAGGGCGAAGCACGCGACCGTGAGCGACACGTACGAACCCTATTGCAGCTACTAGCAGGTGTTGTAAAGACACCGAAACAGCAGCAGCAAACGCATACCTGTGCACATCAAAGAACCACAAGCCAATGAACAATATAATTATTTTGTAATCCCTTCACCTCTTTGACGGAAGTATTCCAAGAAGAATCTTTTTGCTTTTGTGTCACACGCCATAGTACCACAGTAGAGAGTAATGGCGAGATTGGAAGTAAAATGTTGTCTCTCTTGTGCATCGCAATTCAGCCAATGTTCCATCAGTAGTGCTTGCTGTTGCAAAGATCATCAATCGTGCATTCGCCTTCACGCATATTACATACAGTATTATATTGTCCAATACGGCACGGAACACACGTTTACCGCACGAATGCTCCTTTCATTTTGGAACTCCAGTTGCAAAGTGGTCGAAAAAAAAGAGTTAGGCAATAATAGCCAAACATATCGGTAGTATAACCGAAACACTCAGTTTCGGTCACCGGATGTTTGATGACGTCCTGAATACAAGGCAGGGAAAAGAAGAAGGACGACAAAAGAAGAAAGAAAAACAACCTAATGGAATTGCTCGCGTGTGTGAGGCTAAATCCCGAGTAGCTAGTGAATAACCTCACTCCTCTATTGTATACCACGTATTAATCCGCAGCAAGGAGCCTATTAACATTTGCAGGTCATGTTAAGAAAAACCAGTACCGGTTTTAGTTCTGAGCCTAAATCACGAGTGGATAGTGAATAGTGAATAATGAATTATGTCACTGAAGAAAAAGAACCCTTGAAAAAAAGAACAGAAAGTCCGACACAAAAAAAGATATTCTCATTCATCGTACAATACCTGGTACTTCGGAATACAGTAATCACCGTTCAGTGAACAATCACTGCATGTGAAATGTATGTGTGCGCGTTGTAGACTGTAATAGACGCTGAGGCATACCACTATCGACACACCGCATCTTGTCCATCTTCCTTCGCACCGACGCATTATATAATCACTACAAGAATGACTAGACGGAACCCAACCTCACATTTCATCATTGCTGTGATTACTTTTGCTTGTGCATTGTCAATTATCTTTGTCGCCCGTGAAAAGGATCTACTGAATGCGCTTCAAGAGACTGCTGTTCCTGAAAAAGGATTGCAGGTTGTAGATCCAGCGAAAGAATCACCAAGAGAAACTCCAAAAATATCTATTGATGCTTCCAAGAGCGGATCGCAGGAAACTGCTGCTTNCTTCCAAGAGCGGATCGCAGGAAACTGCTGCTTCTGAGAAAGGATCGCAGGTTGTTGATCCAGCGAAAGAATCACCAAGAGAAACTCCAAAAATACCTACTGATGCTTCCAAGAGCGTATCGCAGGAACTTATCCTACAAAAAACGCCAATCGGTTCTATTGAAAATTTCAAAATAGGATCGAAGATTCACGTTCCGTCGCGATTCTGGACCTGCCATCGCAATGTTGACGATAGAGAACAAAAAGACAGGAAACTGTTCTTTGTTCATGTATTCAAAACTGCAGGAACAACCTTCAGACAGTTCTTTCGAAATTATGCCCATATTTGCAATCGTAGAATTATAACAATTCGCTGCACGGGTGTCCTCAGCGAGTCGCTTGCAAACCAAACAAGTGTTTGGATGTTGAAAGGCTCGGACTCAGCAGTGCGTGGGATGGGTTACAATGCGGGGCCTTGCATTCCGTATGATTTTGTCGATGGCGAATCAAATATATTGGAGAGACAGAGCATCACATCTATAGAAGAAATTCAAGCATACAATGTCAGGCAAAAAACTCGTTTGTTTGAGGAGGTATCATACAGCAAATTGCGAGAGTACGATATCGACATTATTTCTGGGCATACACCAATAGGGCTGCATTCCAATTGGTTTAGCGAAGACGAAAAAGTTGTGACCCCCTTGTACATCACATTTTTTCGAGATCCTATCGATAGGTATGTGAGTAGTCACTTGCAAAAGAATAAAGAGATGGTTCAACAAGGTCGCGAAAAATCATGGGATTTTGAGGGAGCACTAGCCTTCATAAGAAATAGTATTCAAAAGAAGCGGAAAGACTCCTTAGACCCATATTTGATGACGTCTGCACAGAAAGTTGGCATTAAGAATATGACAGAGGCAAGAAGAACCAACCTCATGAAGTCTAACTTGGCCGAACTTCCTGTCGTGATTGGTGTCGTTGAACAAATGAAAGATTCATTGAATCTGATTCGGCACGCCATTAACAGTGACAAAAACGCCTTGGTTGAAAATATGATTGCTGACCTCGACATCCATAGACAAAGCAAGAGAAGACTTTTGGAGATGAACAAATCAAAATTATCGACCTCTGCGCTGGTCCGTGAAATCAAGAAGGACAGCGATCTATTTTCTAAACTGAAGAATCTCTTGCGTTACGAGTACGAGGTTTATGATTATGCGGTGGAACTACACAAGCAGCAGGTGAAAAGACTTTCGGAGGTCGTTGAATCGATGCCATAAACAGAATCTGAGAGCACGTGGTAGCTTTTAAATCTTGGTGAGAACGAATCATCACGTGTTCGGTGTTAGAAATAGCGTCAAAATGAGTCATGCGAGGGCAGAACCGAAGCGCACACAAATGATTTCATCCGATTTCATGGGGGATGTAAATATCAGCCGCTGGTTCCGAAATGACGAATAATGGCATCATCTCCTAAGAATTAGGATACTGTGAAGTACTTGTCGTTGTACATTTCTCAATTTTTTTCTCAATTTATTCCAGTCGATATATTTTTACGTACTGGCATCTTGCTAGTATCGTTGTGAGCCTAAATCACGAGTAGATAGTGAATAAGCTCACTCTTTATTGTAAACAACACTGAAATGTCTACCACTCGTTGTGAGGTAGTACACACACCACAATCACGAGTAGCTAGTGAATAACCTCACTCTTTATTGTAAACCACGTATTATCATGCACTAGAGAGCCTATCAACATTTAACAGGTTATGAGCAACAACAGGACTCACCTCCTCATCAGACTCATTAACCATCATCAGACCGCAGCTTGATTTACTGCACCTCATCTTCAGCTCCTGCAGAGCACGAATTGCTTTGCGACTGGATCTCTTCATTTCCGGACGAAGATTCGCAAAAATTTCCGTCTCGTAACGAACTCGATGCCACTAAATTTGCAATCGTAATAAAGGTACGAGTTGCCATGTACAGTATCGTATTTTCCTCCGAAGCGCTAATGGTGTTTCAAGTTCCGAGTGCGCCCTGATTTTTAGGTCAGTTAGTCGTGCGTGACGGAACGATCGTACCAAAAACTTCCGTGAAACATACGGACGGTACCGTAGCGCAACGGGAGGGTTACACATGCTCATATCATACATGGGGTACTGATTGATACATACCAAACTTTGAGTACGAGTTCCAGTACGTATCTCGTAGTTGATGCCAGAAAGAGAAAAAAATCATTATTTTTCTATCCAAGAACCAAATCAAAAATTGAATTCTTCCTCGTATCGAAGTACGACCAAAATGGAAGCATAAAATACAATCAGACCAATAATAAACACATCGCAACCACACGCATAGACAAATACAAACCAGAACCGCCATATCATGAAGTCGATCATTCCTTCTTTAACGCCATCATTGATAGTCCTGGCTGTGAAGACGCAAACAACGACAGCTGTTCGAGGAAGGTCGTCTGTCTCGGACGGCGTCTCTGTCTACTCTAATAACCGCAAACTCTCCTGGGACATGGATGGTTGGTTCGGAAACGTATGGGAACAAATTACGGGAAGCATTGGCTTTGATACTAGTGGCGACTATAGCGGAGACGAGTACGTCATTCAGAATCCAGAAGACGCCAACGGCAACGGCAACGGCACCAACTACGAGTTGCCCACCGATTGGGAGTTTCCTGACAGCCACTGGGACTGGAACGAGTGGCTTTCCAACTTATTGATGGAGAGTACTAATGGTAGCAGTGGATTTCTGAATGGTCGCGGGGACGGATTTTCCCAGCAGAACGGTGAAGGCCTCGGAGACCTTCTTGATGGTTTGGATTTCGGAAACCTTGATTTCGGTAACATCGGTTCCGACGGCCTAGACGTATGCGCTCTAGTAGAATTGGGCATTGGCATGTCAGCTTCGTTTGGCATCGAAGCTAGTTGCGTTTGCAGTGGTGGCCTAGCAACATCCGGAACCGTAAACGGCAACGATCAGGGCCTGGAGATCCGCTGCTCCTTCGACGAGTGCGCCCCCGGCGACTCGGAGGTATGTGGAACCATCGACCTGACACTAGAATTCGGAGGACAAGCCAACGACCCAATCGTGAAAGCAGGGGTCTGTACCGATTTTCGCAACGACGAGTTCGAGGAAACATGTTTTTCCTACGAAATGAGCATGGAAGCGACAAGCACGGAAGGAGGGGACACGTCGCAGCAGCATTCTTGCGAGGCTAGCTACGGCGGAAATCCTTGCGAGTGTTCGCTTCTCGACAACAGCATGAATCTCCCTTGCTTGTCCATCGATTGCACCCCCTTTCTTCCCGGTGGTAAACTGGTGGACACCTGTCAGGTTCTGTCTATGGTGGATGCGAACAACTTGGCCAATTGGTTCCCGAACTTTGAGGCTTTTGTGCCCGGCTTTGACCTTGGCCCTGGGTTGCCAAACAACAACGGCGGCGGGGACGACAACACCAACGGGGACATTCCGGATCCAGAGGAGGATCTGCCCGTGACAATCAACATTCCCGAAGCCGACAAAAACAACGAAAATATTAACGTTGTCAACGGCACCACCGATCCAATCCGGCCATCAATTGGGGATAGCGAAGGCGAAAGCAACGGCGGCATCACGGTGTTGCAAGCCAACGAAATGTTAGACAGTAGTGATTCTTATGACATCAGCTTGTCGAGGACAAGCAGTGCAAGAATCGGGGGATTGCTTTGTGTGACATTTCTCCTTCTGGCCGTGCAGTAGGAAGTACGAGGTTGATGCCAGAGCATCTTTTGATTCCCAATATTCATATCCAAATTAAGAACTACATAGACATAAAAAATGTCAAAAATTACTAGTACTTTTCCAAATGGAATTGTAGCAGAATTTATATAGTAGCTGAGTAATTTAAATTAGTCAACTGGTCACACTGGGTGTTGATATGGTGAGTTTGATGTGTATGGGAGGTCCATAGTAGTAGAAATGCTTGATGGCTATTCTGTATTCAGCTTTGCATAATGTCCAATGGTACCGGTAGTGGTTGGAGGTACCGGCACTATGATAGAAGGACCACCTGCAGTTTCAAGTTTCGGTCCTTCCTTCGTCCTTCTTGAACATCGTAAAGTACTTCTTCGTATCTTCTTATCTTCTAACTGTACAGTACCGTACGTACCGTAGCAGCTAACTGATGTGACCGTAGACCGTACCCTGTAGTTTCATCTTATAACGATATTTACTGTACTTTACTGTATAGAGCTATTAATGGTAAGTCCCGTACTGGCAAGTTATTGGCAATTCCCATACAAATGCTAGTAGAAATTTTTAGCTCATTTTATCAGTAAAAAACC